CATATACACCACACACATACATACACACTATGCATATACATATACACCACACACACATATATGCACACACACACCACACACACACACATACACACACACCACACACACACACACACATACATACACACCCACCACACACACATACATACACACACCACACACATACACCACACTACACACACACACACACACACACCACACACACACACACACACATACATACATACATAAATACGTGCGCGCGCGCGCGCGCGCACACACACACACACACACACACACACACACACACCACATACCACACACACATAGGAAGGAGCTAACAAGTCAGCTAAGATCAAAGAACTAGTGAACGCAGCAACTGAGAACAGGGTTTAACACTTTCAGCTTCATAACCAGAATTATTCCAACTGCATGGCACCATTTCTTTGTAATAGTTAAAACACATTTGTTTAGAAGTCAGCATAGGGGTCGAGATTGCCCCAGCAGTCTGGTGAAGGAGTTCTGGTCATCATGAGACCTTTAGTTTTAGAAGAAGTTACTATAAGGGCTGAAAGAGTCTGGGAGTGTAGAAAAACAAGCAAACACATCCATGTGTCTTGAAGTCACCTGAAAGGAGCCACAGGGAGTCTGCAGAGCAGAAAGTCTAGATGAGGCAGGGTCTTCATGAAGGCAGCATTTCCAAACATGATAGAAGGGCCTTGAGGGATAGATGGAGGCTGAGGATGCTTGGCCCCCCAGTAACAGGCATGGGTGACTGAGAACAACATAATTTCTATTGGAAAATGAGCAGATAATTTTGATTTAAACATTTAAAAATTGATAGATTAAAAACATTAAATTGTACATATTTATAGGGTACCGAGTGATGTTTTAATAAATGAATATATTATATGACGTTTAATTCGCATTATACATATCTATCTCCTAAATATTGTTTGTGGTTAAAAAAAAAATCTGAAATACTTTTTCAAAAAGATTTCCTTTATCAATAGAATACTGACAGCTGCAGTTTGGGTTGCTGTTTCCCACCAGAACATGAAGGCTTTGGGAGTTTTAAAATCTTCTATCTTTTGAAAAAGCAGTGTGTGTTCATGATGTATGTTTGTGTAAATCTGTGCCTTGGCATGCTGCATGTGGAGGTGACAGAGAAGCTCTGTGGAACTGTTTCTCTTCCTCCACCTTCCTGGGGGTCCTGGGGATGGAACTCGGGTCCCCAGGCTTGCACAGCACTTGACCCACTGCGTTACCTCGCCAGCTCGAATTTCGGCATTTATGTCTGTTTTGAAATAGCACTGAGACTCTGATTTCGAAGTGTCCGGTGGTCAGAATGCCTCTTCATTGGGTGGGGCTGGGTGTGTGTCAGGACTGTGTTTGGGTGGCATTAGGGCGTGCCCAGAGCCATGGGGCCGTGTTTGTTATTTCTGTCTTTGTCATGAGATTCTCTCTCTCTCACTCACTCTCTCCCCCTCTTTCTTTTAAAGATTGCATTTATTTATTTATTTATTTACTCATTTATTTACTTGTGCATGTATATGTGTGGGTGCACGCTGTGGCACACGTGTGGAGACCCCAGGCTGGCTTTGTAGGAATCAGTCCCCTCCTACTAGGTGGGTCCTGGGAATTGAACTCAGTTTGTCAGGTTTGGTAGCAAGCACTCTTACCTGCTGAGCCCCCTCGTCTGCGCGCTCTCAAGGAGCTTCTTGCAGACGTCCATCACCCACGTGCCCTTTCCGGACTTCTCAGGCTTGCCCCACCCACCGAATGTTTGGGTGTCGCATCGTTTATCACCGGACCCGTTGGTTTCTGTTTTCTTGGTCGCTTCATCCTGTGACTTCCTGACCTTATTTTTAACCTCGTTTCTGGGTTCCTTTCTATTTATCTTGGGCTCCGGATTCCTCTCTGTAGAATGTCATCACGATGTGACCATTCAAGGTGGACAAGCTGAGCTGATGGGCTTCATCCCTTTCCCTCCTTTGTCTTACTTTTCATCTTCCTCTTCCTCGCTATTAATAAATGCTTGAGTCATTTGAAACTATGCGACAGGCATTTCCTCAGCAGGAGGTAGATCCTAGAACAAAAGCCTTAAAAACATCGAAGATGAAATAGTGCGGCCCGAGCCGGGGCTGTCTACGTGCGGCCTCTGTGTTCTCTATATTTGCATATCATTTGTTATCACCTTCATATTTTAATGTAAATCTATTCATTTACCTTGCTTGAAATAATTTTTGTATGGGTAGAAGTTATATTAATGCTGAAAGGCTAAAACAATTAAAAGATTACATTGAAATACCTCACTCTATTCCCCATGGAAGGGCTGGTTGAGAGTTGAACTTTATATTCGGTGTGTTAAGACCTCTTGTACTCTCTTAGGAAGATCGTTGTATTTAATAAAAATTTGCCCCTTCCTTTCCCTGGCCCGGGTGTTGTCATGGGGACAATATAACATCCGAAGCGCTCTCTCTTTTCGTGCCTTGCGTTTCTTTAAATATTTGGCGACAGTTCCTTTTGTGTCCTTTTCCCTCTGGACCACCACTCTGGCTCCGCTCGCTGCCTGTGATGGGAGCCTGGCACATGATGGGGGGCTGTGGACATTCATCTTAGCCTTTCTCGTCATGGGCCCCGTCCTCCCACTGAACTTGGCATTTGAATCCTGACTTATACCTGTGTCTTCCTCCCCTCCCCCTTTTCTTCCCTCTTTTCTTCTTTCTCATTGTGTATTTTTTGTTTTGAAATATTAAAACATTCTGAAAAGTACATACAATGGATAGACAGCTTGATAAAAAAATAATTAGGAGAAAACATTCTGGCCAATTTCTGTGAAGTCCTCCTGTAATCCCAGGGTTGGGGAGACAGAGGCAGGAAGACCTGGAGTTCAAGGCTGGCCTAGACTATATAGTGAGAATCTGCCCCCTTTGTTCCCCCAAAGCAAATATTCTACTCATCATGTCCAACCTGCAACCCAGAGTATCCATGAAAGCGGCCTAACAAGTTTCTAAGCTTATTTAAACCACCATGTGATTTTTTTTCCATGCCCCTTCCACAATTCGATCGCATGCTTTTCAAGACTGAATATTGTGGATGACAATGTCATGTCACAATGTCAAAAGGTTGGGTACATCTCCCAGATAGAATTAGAATATACCTACCCCACCTTAGGTTTCTGATGCCTCCCTTCCTCCCTGTGTCCTGTTCCCGCAGCCGTGAATGTCCTGAAATATGGTTTGTTTCTCGCATCCCTGCACTTTGCTTAAGTGAAATTATACTATTTCCCATTTTTTCTTCTTGTTTGATAGGCTGCGTGCTGCTCTTTGTATAGAGCTTCAGTTCATGCTTATTTTACAGGGTTCCATTTTATAAATGTATGAGTGTACCCGTTCTCCTGTTGACCAGCTCCCTCTTTAAAGCCCAGTTCTGAGCCTGGACAGTGATCTTCAGTTGACTTCTGGCCATTCTAGAAACAGTGAGATTTTGCTTTCTCAGTCTAGATATTATTTTTCTCTTTTAAAAATATTTAAAATTTTATTTGTGTGTGCATGTCTATTCTCTCTTTACACACACACACGCACACGCGCGCACACACACACACACACACACACACACACACACACACACACAAAAAAAAAAAAAAAAAAAAAAACATGTGTGAAGGCACCCTTGAAGACCAGAAGAGGGCATCAGATCCTTTGGAGCTGAAGTAACAGGTGGGTGTGAACCTCCCATTGTGGGTGCTGGGTGCTGAACTCTGGTCCTCGGCAAGAGCAGTGCTCACTCTAAACCAATGGGACCTAAGACCGTACTGATTTTGGAATTGCATCATACCATTAATTCAGCTCTTGTTCCTACCCTCTAATGTCTGTGGCACCTCTGGACTCTGGGCCCAACCCTCACAATCAGCTAGAGCGACCCTGCCATGGCCTGAGCTCTGACAATCTCTAGTCCCTGTGCTTCAGGCACCTGTGTTCATCCTTGACTTTCTGCCCAGCTCTAGCCCTCACTCACTATGGTCGTTCTTGGAGACCAGAGACCTCATTGTCCATCTTACTACCCTGGAGGAGGGCACTTGGTTTTGTTATTGAGAAAGTTTAAAAGAACGCTTTTTTGCGGGGAGCATTTTCTTGTGTGTTTTAATAGATCACTGATGAGTCTGGACGTGTCATCAGTATTCTGGGGTGTCCCTGGGTACTTGTGTTTGTCTGACATTCTAGCACTCTTACTGTGTTATTTGCATAATGCTCCAGTTTATGTGAAAAACCTTTATTTTATTTTACCTAACTTGAAACTTGTTCCTAACAGAGAAGGAAGAGGATGACCACTTCCTCCCCTCTGCACTCTTCCTTCGGTCCCTTCTGCCTTCTCAACATGCTTTGCTTTGAGGGGAAGTGATTCAGTCACTTAACTCTTTGCTTAAATGACTTAGCTCCATTAACTTTTATTAATGCCCACTTGAGAAGGTAGTGATGACACACGCTATCTAGTTCACGTAGCCGACTGACCGCTGGGTGTACTGTAAGTGTTAGTATTAACTCAGCGTGCTGACACTCTGTTGGAGCTATAGAAGGTCATTGAGAGCTGTGCATCAGCTCCCTGCAGCTGCTGAAAGGAACCACCTAAAGCTCTCTTGCATAAAGCACACCTTCTTGTCTTGCAATTATGGAGACGTATGGAGGCCAGAGGCCAGTGTCTCTAAGGCAGAGGAAAGTGTCAACAGGCACTGTTTCCTCCAGAGGCTCGCCTGGAGCTGTGGTGCCTTGTCTTTCTCAGTTCTGACAACTGTCAGCATTTTCTGGCTTGTGAATGTTACCGATGCCATCTCTGCTCTGGGTGCACAGTGCCATCCCTCTTGGTCTAGTTCCGTCTCCCTCCACTTTCTTATCAGGACAAATGATGATATTCAGGTCTCAATAGGATGATAGGGGTAGTGTCCCTAACTCATGCAAGTCAACCCGCAGCTTAGTACTGTGTGTGGGTACTTCATGTGCTAAGTCTCTTTGCCATGGAAGATGATGTTGGTAGGTGGCAGGGATTAGGATCTGGAATCCTGGGGGGATTATTACTTAGCCTAAATAGGCTGCCAACCCAGGGTGGCACAGAGAGAGGCAGTGTTCCAGACAATTCCCTGAAGGAACTGTTGGTGAACCCAGCCGTGAATGTGAGCCAGCGGTTACCCTGGAAGAGAGTCCTGGACAAGATTCCAAGTAGGAATCATTCAAGACCGACAGAGTGACAGATGCCAAGGAACACAGACATGTCAAGGCACAGTATGATTACCAGCGTGAAGTTTATCGATCCCTTTTCTCATCTGATGTACCATCGACTTTGTTCTCCCTCTCCCTTTGAAGCTCAAAATTATTTTATCTGGAGATGCTTATTTAAATTCTAGAACACCAAGGACATTTTGAACGAGAGTGTCTGTCTTCCCTCCAATATGGCAGTTCCTTTGTCTCCACCAGCCTTAGATGGCATTATTGGGAGTGCAGATACTGTCTGGAGGTGCCTCTGACGTGACTTGCTTAGTCCTCCAAGTTCTGAACTTTAGATCCAGCAAGAAAATTGAGACGTGGCTCTGTGGCACAATGGTAACACATTGGACTTCTGGTGACAAGAAAATTGAAGAGAGAGGGAACTGACAGTGTCACTTTGTATGCTCTGTATCCCACTGATGTGTAGTGACGATAAGTCAAATAGAATCACTCTCTAAACGGTGTCGGTATATCTAAAAACCATGGATGGAAGCTGTGATTATGAAATGATGTTCTGGTATTAAAAAAATGGAAAAGTATTCTTCGGGTTCACAAAAGTTAAATCCCATGCACACATACAGTGTTATTCTAGATAAATACCAGGCAATTCCAGTGAAAGGAATTCTTCCCTTTGCCTCTTTGAGCTCACTAGAACTCACTCACAGTTTCCATTGTTGACTTTTGACTCCGTCACCACATACTCCAACTTCAAGAGCAACTTTGTGAAGAGGCTGTCGAGACTCCTGTGGCCAGCAGCCCCATCACCACCAGATGGCAGCCAAGCCCAGCCAGGGACCAGGAAGCCTGTTCCTCTGCTGTACTCTGTTCTACTCTTTAAGACATCCCTGAATCCTCATCAGTGTTGAAGATAACGCTCGCAGCAGACACCCTAACTCCACATGAACCCAGTCTTAGGCTTTTGGTTAGTGGGCAAGTGCAGGGCCTTCCACAGACCATGCTGTGTTTCTGCCTTTTTATAGTGTGGTGGTTGTCATGTTCATACAAACATTGTGCTTTAGATATGCTCACAGAATATATAGACATATATGTGCATGTATATAGACATATATACTTATATATGTGTGTATTTCTGCAGTGTATGACTATACTTTTGCTTTGAAGACTCTAGAGCAGTGGTTCTCAACCTTCCAAGTGCTAAGACCCTTTAATTGTAAAAGACCTCCAAATGTAAAATTATTTTGCTGCTATTTCATAAGTACTGCTGTAGTTTTGCTATTGTTATGAATTGTAACGTAAATATCTGATAGGCAACACCACAGTGGTCACAACCCACATGTTGAGAAACGCTGCTCTAGACTATTAATGAATTTGTTAAGGTTCCTGGTACATGAGAGTCTGAAAATATATATTGTAATTTCCATCCTTCAGGAACAAACTTTTCCGTGAATCATCTAATGGTTTAGTGCCTGTTCTACTCTTTAAAGGTCCCGTGCAACATGATCTTGGGACAGCATCTTTCCTGCTTTTCCTCCCCTTCCTTCCCTTCCTTTCCTTTTTGAGACAGGGTCTTACTATATCACCCCGGCTGGCGTGGAATTCACTGTGTAGTTCAGGCATGCCTCATTCTTGCCACAATTCTCCTGCCTCAGCCCTCTAAGGACTGAGATGACAGGCGTGAGCCACTGTGTCGTCTTGTTAAGATGGATGTTGACCGTGGTACCAGCTTCTTCCTGAGGCACCAGGGTTCCAAAGACTGAAAAGGTACCCAAATCTTCCTAAGCCGAGGGCTTTCCCATATAACGACAAGTAGCAACACCAGAATTTACCTGACGGCGGCAGGAGGAGATAGGAGTGTGGGAAATCTTTTGTATTCCTGTGTAATTGAGGAAATTTGGCTTGTCATTGTTTTAGGGGAATTTCTTGCTAAAATTAGGGGCTTCCTGGCTCTTTCTGAGCTTGAAATTCACCATTTGTTTCTTAATAAAGCAGTGCGTGAAAAATTGGAAATCCCAAGCAACAGCTTGTCAATCAAAAAAAGCCCATTTCAGTTTCTATTTCAGTTAAAACTCAGACGTAACCAAACATGTACTCCGTATTCTAGGGACTTTGCTGGGGGTGCTTTGTTTTATTTCAGGGGAACAAATTCAGAAGGTCCTTCCATCCCCTGTCTGCAGAGACATCTATCTACTCTATCTGCAGAGAGGTTCATTTACAGTCATGCACTGTGCACGAAATTGCCATCTCCTGCTTTCTGAGGCTAGAGGCTCGGACAGCTTCCAAGCACGCCCCCCTCCCCCATTTTTAGCATCTCTCTCTCTCTCTCTCTCTCTCTCTCTCTCTCTCTCTCTCTCTCTCTCTCTCTCGGTGTGTGTGTGTGTGTGTGTGTGTGTGTGTGTGTGTGTGTGTGTGTGTGTGTGTTTGCGCGCGCGCTTTTTGTCTTAGTCAGGGGTTCTATGGCTGTGAAAAGATGCCATGACCATTGCAGCTCCTATCAAGGAAAGCATTGAGTTGGGGCTGGCTTACAGTTCAGAGGTTTAGTTCATTGTCATCATGGCGGGATGTATGGTGGCACACAGGCAGATGTGGTACCTGAGAGGTAGCAGAGAGTTCTACATCTGGATTAGCAGACAGCAGGAAGAGAGAAAGCCTCTCATCCTGGCTTGAGGATCTGAGACCGAAAAGCCCATCCCGCAAAGCACATTTCTTCCAACAAAGCCACACTTACTCTAACACGGCCACACCTAATAATGCTGCTTCTTAGGGGCCTATGGGGGCATTTTCATTCAAATCACCACACTTTTCCTGTGTCATTTGAGGTTCTGAGGCCTAACTTTTTCTCTATATTCTTCTAAAAAAATAGCTCAGTAATTAAACATTTCAAAACAAAGAGCCAAATCTAAAACTTTGAGAGATGTTTCATGTTTACACCCTCTCTCCTCCTGTAACCTAGTGTCCATCTCTTATATTTTGAGTCCTGGGAACTGGGGTGCTCCAAGAACATGAATGACATCCATCAAGCTCATAGGTGTCCAAATGCAGGAAGGATTGTTACATGTCAAAAGGCCAAGCTTTTCTGGAGGCCCCTTGACCGAGATGATATATGTGATGGATATTTAGTTTTTGATATACATGGTAGATATCTAGTATTTGAGGGTGATTTGACAGGTATTCCTGGTAAAGGGCTTTCTCAATCTTGATAAAAGAATATATTCTAGTTTCATTTATGTTGCTTGAAAATACTCTCTCAGAAAACAACTTAGGGAAGGAGGAGTTTATTTGTCTTACAACTCCTTCTTTTTGGGTAAACCAAGTCAGGGACTTGAGGCATCTAGTCACATCACATCCAAAAGCAGAGAGAGAATAAATGCATGCATGCCTATTTGCTTGTTTTTTTTTTTTTTTTTTTTTTTTTTTTTTTTTTTTTTTTTTTGTGCTTGGCTCAATTTCTCTACTCATACGCAGTTCAGAATCCCCTGCCTAGGAAATGTTGCCACCCACAGTGGCCAGGGTATTCCCACATCAATTAACTTAATTAAGACAGTCTTCTACAGGCACACCACAGGCCAACCCAATGTAGACAATCCCCATTGAAACTCTCTTCCTAGGTGATTCTAGACTGTGGCAAGGTGACAGCTAAAGCTAACCATCACAGAAAACATATGAAAAATATTGATATCAATAACATTGACTTCTGTTTCTTAGACAGTATTTCACTGTGACTATCGCCAATTGCCCTTACCACATCTTTCTGTGACAGGAAGGAGGAGAGGCAAAGTGATACCCTAAGGATCAGGTAGTGAAGAGCAATGACTGGTACACAAGCATTCTACAGTGATGTCCGAGGGGGATGATCACAGCTCGAGAAGATGCTCCTTGCAGCATTCTTTAAGCTACTGAACTATTTCTACCTGTTCTGAAAATCTGTTCTATTCATGCACAAGTGAAGGCTTTCATGGCTGCTGCTGCTGAAGGTGGAGTCCGGCCTTAATCTCTGGCATTTCCTCTAGGCTTTAGAGGCCATTAAGGCAGTTTCTTGTGACTGCTCATGGATGAGCCCAGAGCTTTAGCAAAGGCCCTGTCCATTCATTTTTTTCTTTTCCCTAGAATTTGGTGTGAGAGCTCAGACCTCACATTCTAATCTACCAAGAAAGATACCATGGCTAGTCAGACCAGTAATCCAAACGATGGTGTATTTTAAAAACCAGATTCAAACCTAAATGTTTTCCTTGCCGGATCCCACAGCAAAGAATCACTGAAACACGCCCCCCTCCCCCAAAGGAAGCTCTGAAATGAATAACTCCAATCTCCATTTCTGTAAGACACCTCATGTAGGGGACAGAGGAAAACATTCCTCTCAGCCAATGGGGTGACTTGGTTTGTCCTAAAGGGGCCACCTAAAAAGTTTCTCAGCATCAATTTGATCCTTCCTCTATCATAGGTTTTCTTATGACCCCATTTTCACCTGAGAAAATTTTTGTGACCCTAGGAATATAAAGTATATAAAATGGTCATAAAAAACAAACATTTCCTGATAACAAATCATGAAAAATATATTTAAAAACATTTGTTTAGTGTACACATAACTTTATTATTTCTTAAGACTAGAGCAAAATTTGGTCTTAAGACTAGAGCAAAATTTGGATACTAATGAGATAGACATGCTTATTTATTTTTACATAGAAAATTAAATCTTGGCTGAAATAGTTGGTATTACAGGATGCAGAATATTTTTAGGATCTTTCAGATTTGATTGATGTTTTTTATTTTATTTTTATTTAAAAAAAAAAAACGTGTTTTGCCTGCATGTATGCCTGTGTGAGGGTGTCAGATGCCCTGGAACTGGAGCTACAGACAATTGTGAGCTGCCATGTGGGTGCAGGGAATTGAACCCAGGTCTCCCGGAAGTGGCCAGTGCTCTTAACCTCTGAGGCATCTCTCTAGCCCCGATGTTTTGATTTTATATCTATCAGGGCTGAGAATGCTGCTTTGTGTAGATATATAGTACAAAATGGGAGAAGCATGTTTAGGGCCATTTCAGAAATTGTTAGAAATTCTGCTCTAATCTCAGGCCAAAATTCGTTCACTGATTTTTTTTTTTTATTCATGAAATTCAAGTCAAGAATTCAAGCAGCAGTTTTAAAACCAACATTGTAACATAACATGGACCAAAGATACACTCCTTTGATACTTACATTCTGAGGGATGATAGTGGGAAAATACAAGAAGTTTTTCTTACTGAAATCGTTAGGTTTCTGTAAGAGCAGAAAACCTTTGTACACACAGTAAAAACACTACTGTTCATCATATACAACAGCCTCGAGTCTGAGATGAGGTGTTTGGGGCAATGTTTGTTGTTGACATTATGTGGTACGATAGACTTCTCAGTGCAAAGTGCCCATGTGGTATGTTCAGAACCGAGGCTGTGGTGAAGTTGTGTGAGGCAGCACGAGAGAACATTGAGAGAAACAACTTAGATTCATTATGCGTTTAGTTTTGATTGAACTTTTGGTTATTGAATGTTCAGAAACCCTTCACTGCTGCCAATTACTTCTCAGCCCCCACAGAACCTCCAGTTAAAGAAGCCGTGCTCTAGAAGATTTTTTTTTTTTTCGAGACAGGGTTTCTCTGTTTAGCTTTGGAGCCTTTCCTGGAACTCACTCTGTAGACCAGGCTGGCCTCGAACTCACAGAGATCCTCCTACCTCTGCCTCCCAAGTGCTGGGATTAAAGGCATGCGCCACCACCACCCGGCTCTAGAAGATTTTTAACTGAGTATTTTCCTGAAGTCTTTGCTGTTACTTGTTTGTTGCTTTCTTCTTACGATTTTAAGCTCTCAGGAGTTCGCTCTAGGTCTTTTGGGCACATTATATGTCAGTTACTTTTAGGTTTACCAAATTCAGCGACTAGCTTCTAAAGGAAGCAGTATTTCATCCCAAAACTATACTTCAGTCGAGAGTATCATCTAGTGTATATCTCTTTTCGTGTTTAGTGTACATATTGTGCAAGAAGAAAGAATATACTATGAGTATAAATTCTAGTTATTTGAACTCATTGGAAAGAAGAAATAAATACACAGAGCAGGCCTTTCCCTCATGCTTTCTTGTTGAGTATGAGCTTAGAGGATAAGTGATGGTCCAAGTATGAAAATTCTATAAAATAGTTAGGGGTGCCGCTGGGCCTCATGCCTGGGCCAGTTTGTTAACATTACTATTTTCTCACATTCTACTGCTGATTAGAGTGTCACTGCCCAGCCTCTTGGAACTTTTTTTGTCCTCTTACCATGTCTGGTATCTGGTGGCTCTGTGGACACACAAAGGACTCGGCAAGACATCTCTTGGAGAAATTGTTAAACAGAAGTCACTGAAGAACCTGGGCAGGGGATAACGGAAGTGGTGTTGTTGTTTAGTGGCGAGCATCTGTTGTCACGATTAGCTAGAAGTCAGGTAGCATCCAGAGTGGTGAAGACAGCTCTTCAGCAAACACGTGTGGTCTTTCAGGGGTCCTCACTGATCCTCTGGAGGGTGTTGCCACAATGAGAGTCTGAGTAGTTGTTGAAACTCCCAGAACGCACATTAATTGGGCTAGTCCTAAGTCGCTAATTAAAGTATAATATAGATCTCACATAAGAAAGGGAACCCATGAGTACCTAAAGAGCAGCATGTGCTGGCCAATGCCTTGGTCAGCTCTGTGGGATAATATGGGCTTTTGAAGAAATGCATCTATGAAGTCTATTACATCTGAGATGCTGCATTCATCTACTGACCAGCAGACTATGTTAGAGATGTTGTTTTTTATCAGTGGTTCTCATCCGAGGATGATTTTGTGCCTCATTGCATACATGGTGGTGTTTCCCATTGTCATAACTCTGGGGAAGGGCACCACAGTGGGTGCAGGTCAGTTATGATGCTAAACACACTGTGAAGTACAGGACAGCCCCTACAGCAAGAGATAACTACCTGCCTTGAAATGCCAATCGCCACTCAGGTAAAAAAAATGACCTCATGAAATTTGCAGGCAAAATGGATAAGACTAGAAAAATCATCTTGAATGATGTAACCCACACCCAGACAGACAAACATGGCATGTACTCACTCATAAGTGGATAGTAGATGTAAAGCAAAGGGTAACCAGACTACAATCCACAGCCCTAGAGAAACTAGGTAACAAGGAGGACCCTAAGAGGGACCCATGGATTGCCTTGGGAAGGGGAAATAGATGAAATTTCCTGGGTAAACTGGGGGTGGCGGGGAGGGAGTATTGGGGAAGGGATAGGGGATGGGAACATGAAGGATTGGGATGGTTGAGTTGGGGGATAGATGGAGAGGGAGAGCAACGAAAGAGATATCTTGGTAGAAGAGGCCATTATGGGGTTAGGGAGAAACCTGGTGCCAGGGAAAATCCTAGGAATCCACAAGGATGACCCAGCTAAGACTCCTAGCAATAGTGGAAAGGGTGTCTGAACTGGACTTCCCCTGTAATCAGATTGGTGATACCCTAATTGTTATCATAGAACCTTCATCCAGTGACTGATGGAAGCAGATGCAGAGATCCACAGTCAAGCACTGGGCTGAGCTCCGGGAGTCCTGCTGAGGAGAGGGAGGAAGGATTGTATGAGCAGGAGGGCTGAGATCATTATGGGGAAACCCACAGAGACAGCTGACCTGAGATCGAGGGAGCTCACGGATTCTGGACCAACAGAACTCTGGACCGACAGCTAGGGAGCCTGCATGGGACAGACCTAGACCCTCTGCATGTAAGTGACAGTTGTGTAGCTTGGTCTGTTTGTGAGGCCCCTAGCAGTGGGACTGCCATCCATCCCTGGCACATGAGCTGGCTTCTTGGAACCTACTCCCTGTGGTGGGATGCCTCACTCAGCCTTGATGCAGGGTGTATGTGTGTGTGCAATCTTGGTCCTGCCTCAACTTTATATGCCATGCATTGTTGACTCCCGTGGGAGGCCTTGCCCTTTCTGAGGAGTGGAGGGGATGGGGGTGGAAGTGGAGGGAGGGGAAGCTGTGGTTGGTATGTAAAATAAATAGAAAAAATTTAATAACAAAAAAAAAAGAAAACTAAAACACCCACAATCCATCCTTTCCATCATAAAAAGTGCAATTTTCAGCAATTTCTCTTCCATTTTACAACTGAGGACAAACCATGAAGATAAATTTTAATGTAACTGAGAAAATGTTTTATCTTTATTTTAATATTTCTAATATAATCAAAATGAAATATTGAAAAAAAAAAGAAATGCCCATAGCACTGAGATTGGGAAACTCCTCTGCAGTCAGTTGTTCTGTTTGGAATCCACCAGAGCCACGATTCATTGGCTGGCAATGCTTACCTTCGATGAATTGAGGAGTGCGTGGATTTGATGAATTAGTCTTCAGTAATGTCAGTGTCACATTAAGGAAAGATATTAAAACGCTTCCTCTTGGTATTATTGAACTCAGAGTGAACCGGCTTTGAATTCTCTACTTCACCCCCTCTGTGTCTCCCATGCTCCTCATTTGCCTATAGTATGACTCCGAATCTGTGCCTGTCTGGATGCTGGCTTCTGAAGCTATCCCTGTCCTTGTGTCTGTCTGTCTTTGTGAATGTCTGAGTGTGTGTCCCTAACAAAAGCTTTGCTCTTTCCTTATTGACTAGCACACACAGTATCACATGTGGAAGAAACGAAGGTAGACGCTGGACAAAAACTAATAGAATTTTACAAGGGATTGAGTTATTGACTCCAACTGCCCCCGATAACAAACAGTACTACAAACCTCATCGTTTATCCAACAATATCCATACATCACAGCCAATATTTATGGTGGATGTTCATTTTATAAGGCTGCTTCCAGCCTCTATTTACTGATTCCAGAAGATGATGATCATAACATACATGCATTACTCTGAGCCAGGGGCATGGAAGAGTACATCACTTAGGATTACAGCTATGTAATCTTAGCTGAGGCTGATTACATGGGAAGCCCAAGGCAGTAAGGTTAGATGTTACATTGTTCTCTTAAAGGCAGGTTAAACAAAAAGGCTGAGCACACAGTGGGATAGCAGTCTTAAGTCTTAATTGACCACAAGGTGCATTAGTAACTCTAGCTGTGAGGTCCAGCAAATGTTCCAATCTCTTAGACTGTAAGAGAGATTTTCATCACAATATATTGCCATAGAGGAGGAAACCAAAATATTAAAATGATGCTTAGAAAGACAGTTATGTCTGGGCTGTGGAGAACAAAACCAAAAACAAAAAACAAAACAAAACAAAACAAAAAAGAATCTTCTCCACTTTACCTATTCACTATTATATTCTTTGAAAATTCCAATACATGATTTTTTTTTGGGTATTTATTCCTAATTTTCCTAGCTGGTTTTGATCAAAGTTGGACAAAAGGATGTCATAAGAACATTCAATGTCCCAATAAAATGATATCTTTTTTTGTTCATGGAAAGTTAAGGATTTCCTTAAGCTCTTGGAGATTGCTTACTCCCATTCCTCATGAGTAATTGACACACTCCATTGGCTTGTGATTGGACTGTATACTAAGTCAGTTTCAGGTCTGGAAGAATAAAGAGAGGCTTTTACTTTAGCTCAGTATTCCCTGCCGAGCTATGGAGTTGCTGAGGTTAAAAACAATCTATGTGAGATTCTCACCACTAGTCATCACACTGTGAAAACTTGGACCTCTCTAACAAACTCACGGCTGTAATGTCTTCATTCATCACACCTGAGGTGCACACGTGTGCTCCTAAAGAAGGATTCTCTTTATGTGCATTTGTTTCCAGAAATGGCTAAACCAGCTGTTTTCAACCCAGAAGGGAGTTCAGCAAACTGATGGGAAAATGCATCCCTGTGAGAAATCCTGATGTGTCTGGGCAGGCATGGGGCAGAGACTGGTGTTACCCTTTGTTCCAGCCCTCCTTTCTCCCTGCCTCTTTCATCCTTCCTTACTTTAAAATGTTATTTATATTCATTAGATGAAATCAACATCATTATCCAATTTGCATAACTCCCATAATCCTCTGCTCTGGCCACCTTTACTCCCAAGTCCCATTTTCTAGAGGATATCATTCTCAGTTCTCCCTTCAATACTTATGTCTTCCTCTGTTTCTTTGGCTATTCCTTATGGTTTTAGACTATTGAGGACTCTGGCACAGCAGACAAGAACTCAGGGCCCCTCTTGCCTCATTGTTTTTCCAGTTTCTGGATGTGCTTCTGTTATAGTTTGCAAAACTAGACCAGACTTGGTCGTCAGTGTCCATACCCTGTTATCATATAACTATATTCACTGTAAGTAACCTTCTTCTCTAGTCTGACTCTGTTTCCCCTGCTTCTTTTCATTTAACATGTCTGTGAAGCTCTTCTTTCCGATTGGCATCCATGTTCTGTTTCTCACTCCTGACAACACGACCATGCCCTCTCTAACTCACTCTACTTTCCTTTTCCCTGGTGTCCCTCTACCAACAGACTGTTGACTTGGCCAGTTGCAGAGCTATAATCCTGCGACTCCTCTCTCTCTGACGCTAGACCCACTATTTCTGAAACTATCTATGATACTCAAATTGGAGTCATAGTGTGACTGGCTGTAAATTCCAATTTCATCCAGCATTGTGGAGACACTGTCTTTTCTAGCTCACACATGTTGAGAAGTCCCATCCTATTCTGACTTCCTGTATTCTGTATGCCACATGCCTCCCTCCACCCCCACAGCCACTGTTAGCAGCCTCTCCTACCACCAGTGTCCTAGAATTTCAGGATGATAAAACTAGGCATTAATACCCATCTCTACCTCCTTGTACATTAAAAAGCACCATTTGGTGGACTTTTCCATTCACTAAAATTCTCTAATTATTTTTTCATAATTTTGCCACTTTTTTCTTTCTATTTTAAGCTAATTATTGATACTTCTGGATTGATTTTCTGATTTTCCTATCTTCTCTGTTCTATTTTTTTATCTTATTGTTTTTTTTCTCTCTCTCCTCTAATGAATTACTTACCAGCCTCGTTACTAAAATTTAAATTTTGGCTATCTCAGTTTAAAAATATTTTTTTGAGACAAGGTTTCACTATGTAGTTCAGGCCAGTGTCAAACTCTTTATGCAGCACAGACTGGCTTTCAAGTCACAATCTCCCTGCCTCTGCCTCCCCAGTACCACAGCACATCACTAAGGACACCCTAGTTTTAATATCTAAAGGGTAATTTTTTTTTACAGCATTCTTTTTCTTATGTTCTTTGTGGCCAGTTACTAATCCTTTATCTGCCTTCCAGAAAAAAATTGTAGCTGGTTGTCTAGTTCCATACATGCCCTTCTTCTTCTCCTTCTCTCCTCCTCCTTCTTCTTAGTTTTTCTTGACAGAGTTTCTCCATGTAGCCCTGACTGTCCTGGAACTCACTCTGTAGACCAGGCTGGCCTTGAACTTAGAGATCCCCCTGCCTCTGCTTCCAGAGTGCTAGGATTAAAGGCGTGTGCCAGCAGCCCAGCTCTTTGTCTTTCTGTATGTCTTACTATCTCAGTCACTTGCTGTCACTTTGGTTGTAACTAAGAGGTCAAGGAAATAACCTTATATAGCCATTCCCCTGGACTGGCTCTGCAAACCCATCACATGTACTTTACCTGAAGTACCTTGAGGTCACTTTGTGTCAGCACTGAGGAAAGATGTGATGCTGGAGGCAGAGACTGACTGAGAGGTTCTTGGGATGAGCTGTGTAGATCTCTCTCCTGCTTCTCTTATGGGAGCTGAATGAAATGGGTTTCCTCCACACCAGGCAAATCATCAGTTCCGTGGGCCTCAGGGACAGTTTTCTACAGGTGCTGTGTACCTGGAGCATTTTTTATATGCTTTATTGACACCTGATTAGTCCCAGCAGCTTCATGGCGGGCAGCTCCTACAACTTTTAAGTGTACCAGCAGGGCCCAAAGCTGGAGGCAGACTGAGGATGAAGGGTTGGTGGTGTATCTGGACAGCTCTGCAACTCTGTGAGGTAATTACTGGTGGTATTTTCCAGAAGCTTCTTAGGGCAGGCCACTTTTAGAACACACAAAGTGCTTGTCTCCGAGCCCTCATAGTCTCTTCTCTGCTTCTGCTTTCCTTTGGATGTGTCCTGTCGTCTGTGGCTCTGTTAGTAAGGGTTGTTAGCAAGGCTTGTTAGCAAGAGTTGTTAGCAAGGGTTGTTAGCAAGGGTTGTTAGCAAGGGTTGCTAGCAAGGCTTGTTAGCAAGGGTTGTTAGCAAGGCTTGCAGCCCTGAGTTCTGTGCGAGCAATCTGTGAGATAACGAGCTCTTCACTTTGTAAATGTCCAGGAAACGTTCTTGTTATTTCTCCCTTCGTAATAACAGCTTGTAAATATGGGTTGGACTCCAGACACAAACGTGAAGAGAAAGAGAGAGAGAGAGAGAGAGAGAGAGAGAGAGAGAGAGAGAGAGAGACTCAATTCTAAAGAGCGTGTCTGCTTCTGTGTTCCTAATTTTACATTAGAATTTTGAAAGTTTTAGGCATTGTATAAAAAACACACAGAAGCACAGCCTCATTTTCTAGACCTTTGTACATACTTAGTTTTCAAGCTTATATTTCTTGGCGGTAAAATGGAGAAAGATGGTGTTAGATATATAAAAATGAGCACCAAAGTTTCAGGTTTGTGCATGTTCTTTTTTTTTTTTTTGGGGGGGGTGCTTTATAGAATCACTGTTGGGATGAGAGAAGGAATTTTATCTTCTTTTCAGAATAATAATTTTTTTTTTTCGAGACAGGGTTTCTCTGTGTAGCTTTGCGCCTTTCCTGGAACTCTCTCTGTAGCCCAGGCTGGCCTCGAACTCACAGAGATCCGCCTGCCTCTGCCTCCCGAGTGCTGGGATTAAAGGCGTGCGCCACCACCGCCCGGCCTGGAATAATAAATTTAAAGTAGAGTAAACTATCTGGAAGGGTGCCCTGCCTCAGCTGTCCCTCTTCCCCATCTTCCCCCTCCTCCCCTCCACCACTTCCTCCTCCTTTTGAAGTTCTGTTGCTGTGGCATTTGAACCCAGGACCTTGCACACTCTGGGCAAGTTCCCTAACCCAGTCTTTGCATCTTCTGGTCTGAGCAGCAGTAACTGTTTTCTTCTAACTATTTGACAGAACAACAACAAAAAAAATCCTGTGAAGGCTGCGATCATGTATCTTTATTATTCTGATACTTTCGATAATATATGTTATATCATAACTTGTATATATATATATGTAACATTTTTATAAGGCATAGAGTATATACATGCATACACTTGTCAAATAAAATTTGTGGGAATTGATTTTCTCTTTCCACCATATGGGTTCTGGAGATTGAACTCACGTTGTCAGGACTGGCGGCAAGCCTTACCCCCTGAGCCATCTTGATAGCCCTTGTTCCAGCTAAAAGTCTCTTTGTACATTTGGGCAAACAGTCTTCTATCAACTGTGGAAAATGGCTTGCTTCTCATTCTCTTAGCAGTGTCTTGCAGGATGGAAGTTTTAAATTTTTACCAAAGTCCAGCTCACAAATCACTCATGAGTTTTGTTCTTGGTGTTCTATTTAAAAAGTCATCACAAAGCCCAAGTTCATGCAGGTTTTCTCCTATGCCGCTTTCTAGGAGAGTAGTAGTTTAGGTCTGTGACCCATTTGGAGTTAATGTTTGTGAGGAATGAAAGGTCTGTGTGTAGATTCAGCTGTTCATATGCGGAATCCAGCTGTTGCAGAAGCAGTTGAAGAGTTCCCTGTTCCCCATCATGCTGTCTTTGTTCCTGTATTAGTACAGGTCTCTTTCTAGGCTCTCCATCCTGTTATCGAACTTGTTGATTCTTCTGTCAATATTAAACTGTCCCAATTACTGCCACTTGTTTATAAGTCTTGAAGTTGGATAATGTTAGTCTTTTCACTTTGTTCTTATCCTTCAATATGTGTCGACTATTTTTGCTCTTTTGTTTCTATATGGCTATTAGAATTACTTTACCAATATCCATAAAATAACTTACTGTGAGTTTGATTGTGATCGCATTGAATCTGTTGATCAATTTGGGGATAACTGTATGTAGACATAGAGTCTTCTTATTCTTGTATGTGCAAATACCTCCCTATATAGATATTATTTTTTCTTTCACCAAACATTTTTAGTGTTTTTTTTTAAATATAGATATGATTTTTTTGGAGACATACTTAAGCATTTAAAATTCTGGCTAATAATATAAATACTATTTGTTTTGACTTTCAAATTCCAGTTGTATATTGACGGCATATAAAAATGTAATTGACTTTCACATGTTAATTTTATATCCTGCAACTTTACTATAATGACCCATTACTCATTAGATATAAATAAGATCTTATATTTTTTGTTGTTGTTCTTTGTTCTTCTTGTTGATTGATTTATTGATTGATTGATTGTGTGTGTGTGTGTGTGTGTGTGTTTGTCTGTGTGTCTGTGTGTGGTGTTGGGGCTTGAGTCTAAGTCACTGTACATGTTAAACAAGCACTCAACATGAAACTAAATCCTTATCTATGTTATTAATGCTTTAGGTATTGATTTTGTTAAAAAATAATTTTGTGGCCTTTTATTAGCAGGCCTAAGTGTTTCCAGTAACCTTAAAGTCTGACAGTTGGAAGTATTCATAGTGAACCCCAAGATAAGCCTTTATGAGTAACAATTGGTTTTCTTGGCACAACACTGTGAAACTTTCAGGCTTTTATCAGAAACTATTTAGTCACAGAGACCACAATTCACTTGAGTTACCTTGTTTCCTGTTGATATATGTTTCATTATCAGTTTGATCATGAGTTGAGGGCTAGAGATGGAAAGATAGTGCCAGTGGTTTGACTTAGTGGGGTCTTCTGATGAAAACTTAAAACTGAACAAATGATAGAATCATGAACCCAAATAGTCAAGGGTAAAACTAGTCAAAAATTAGTAACTGTTCTGGTATTGTAAGATTAAGAAAAAAAATTAAAATCAATAAATCAACAACTATTTATACAAAGAATAGGGTTTAAATCTGCTAGGTAAGCATGGCTGGTATGGATATGCAAACATACAAAATTCACTTTCTTTTAAGAAATATCAAATGGCAGAATGAATATTCAAAGCATGATGTGGTACTCTGTGTGTTCCTCATGACACCTTTTGTCTACACTTATTTTTGCCATGTATGTATTCTTTGTTGAAAAGTGCCATTGAATAACTTTGAACTCTTATTTAAAGTCCACACTGAACTCTTTCCTTTCCTTTCTTTTTCTTTCCTCCTGTATCCTTCGTGTCACAGTTTTATCAGAGTGACTACTTTCTCTTTCCCTCTGTAATCTCTTGATACCCATGGGAGAACTCTTGTATTTGTGGGATCTTGGAGATCCGTAGAACTGTTTGTTTCCTGCAGGCTGTAGAGATGGAGTTGGAGATGAATTCTTCTATCTTAAGAGGTTCAGTGGTGTCCACCATTCCACATGCCAACCAGAGGTGAAGCTTCATCTCACGGGTTTTTTAAATGACCACTGTAAGTCCCTGCTTAGACTGCCAGTTGAGCAGCTGAAATAACAAGATGCAGCCAATGCTCTGGCATAAAACCAAAGTCTGATTCTGGAAGAGCCCGATGGTCCGTATGTTTCGTGCCCATATGATTTAACATGCAACAATGGTTAATGTAACTACCATGTTTTGGGTACTACTTAATTTTCAGTAATGGGTTTTGTTGGTGGGACATGAGTATTGTTACTCACTAGTACATTTTTGAAATTATATTAGAATGAACTGTCCTGATGTTGCCCTACTCTTACACATGGAATTTCACTGTGGCAATGTCTAAGCAGTTAAACAGTCTGTCTCATTGGGTTTAGTAAGTGGCTCTCATAGTCTAGTTTGGAAAACAGTGCTAACTCACACAGGATTGACTGCCAACATGCCAATGTAGAATATAAATAGTGAGTTATGGATCTCAGTGAACTCAGAAATACTCTAGAGCTATCCAGACTTAAGCTGCCTCAAGGAAGATGGGTAAGACTTGTAAGGGTAGAGGGTAGATGAGAACATATTTGATGCTGCATGAGCAAAGGCATTATGTCGGGAATTATTGGTAATGGTAGCAAAGAGGACGTAGTGGGACTGAGCCACTGGTAGGTAAATGCAGATCATGTGGAAATTCAAGAATCAGTTGTAGAAATTTAATTTGGGATTTGTTGACTAAGACAAATATCAAAAGAATGAAGACAGTTTACTGTATGTGTGTGTGTGTGTGTGTGTGTGTGTGTGTGTGCATGTGTGTATATGATGTTATATGCATGAAATACAGAACACATTTTTTACAGGAGAGAGCTACCAAAGAATCAAGAATGAATTTAGTGTTGTTACAAGTTTTGAAGCAGGAGAGTGGCACCATTGGGAAGACAGTTTGGGGAGAGAAAACTGCTTCAAATCCTTCATTGAAGGAGTTGGTGTGACATGGTGGAGTTTGGCAGATCACAGTGAAGTCAGTGGCTGAAATAAAGGATGAATTGTTGCTGTGGATATCGTTCTGTATAAATAAAACACTGATTGCCCAGTGGCCAGGCAGGAAGTATAGGCGGGACAAGGAGAGAGGAGAATTCTGGGAAGTGGAAGGCTGATTCAGGGAGACACTACCAGCCGCCGCCATGACAAGCAGCATGTGAAGATGCCGGTAAGCCACGAGCCACGTGGCAAGGTATAGATTTATAGAAATGGATTAATTTAAGATATAAGAGCAGTTATCAAGAAGCCTGGCACGGCCATACAGTCTGTAACCAATATAAGTCTCTGTGTTTACTTGGTCGGGTCTGAGCGGCTGTGGGACTGGCGAGTGACAGAGATTTGTCCTGACTGTGGGCCAGGCAGGAAAACTCTAGCTACAAATTGTCATGTAGGGTGGATGATTAGGGTTGAGAGCAAGGGCCGTGGTGAACTCCCCTGGTGAGGGAGGGAACAAAAGAGGGAGGGGGAGCATCCACAAAGAGGAATGAGCAGAAGTTAGCAGTTCCCCACCATTACTCTCTTAGAGCTTCCTCCCGGAGACTCTATTATCATGACCATTAGGGGGTATAAAGTCTCAAGACATATCAAAAACTCAAAACACTCATAGTAAAAGGCAAATTTTGTGCACACTTTTTCTTCAAGCCAGAGCTCTTTTCTTTCCTCCCGTCAAGAGTCAAACTTGTCAAAAGATGATCATACTGACAGCAGCTGTCTCTGCAGGCTGTCTTGAACCCACTGCAGTGGAATTCTAAACCTCACCATCACAACTGCCCTTCTAAATACCTCCAACCAGAGGCAGCTGACTGAGGCCTGTTTCATGACTCTTGGAGTTGCCTGCTACAGTGTCCGTTTAAAATGGACAGATTAGGCCTCCTGGCTTTGTGACCGCCCTTTGGCTGACCCCTGGCCCTCTTCTGTCTCTCTATGCTCTAAATGTTGGTGTGCCCAAGGCTCATTTCTTGCCTGTTTTCTACTTCTGTCCTACCTTACTTGATTTCTTTATTGTGTGTTAATATTTACTGCTGTAGGTACTACATTATAATCTACACATTCCCAAATTACTGTATCTGTCCTGTGTTTTACATGACAGCTATTGAAAACCTTGCTACTGTTAAGACTTTCATTTTATAAAATACAACTTTGGGCTGAGAAGATGACTTGGTAGCTGAATCGCTTGTCCTGCAAGCATAAAGACCAGAGCTTGGACCCCAGAACCCATGTAGAGCTGAGCAGGCACATTGTTGGCTGGCTGCCTGTGATCCCAGCACTCAGGAGGGGAGATAGGAGACCCTGGGCAAGCTGGCTAGCTAGACTAGACAGAACGGAGGAGTTCCAGGTTCTGCAAGGGACTCTGACTCAATAAAAGAAGGGGAAGGATTGAAGAGAACTGTCAATATCAGTTGAGGCCTCCACATTTACACAGGCACATTTTAATAAGTATTCACACAGCACACACACACACACACACACACACACACACACACACACACGTAAAAATTTTTAAAAACTAAATTTCTTAAGAGGGAAACCATGCTCATTTTGTTTATTCAAATATTTTTTTTGGGTCAAGTCTGATGTTCTCCTTAATTCTTAAAGCTTTAATTTTTTTCTCAGTAGTAGGCAGGGTTCTTTGAAGAACTCAAGCCAGTAGAATGTAGATCCATTATAAAAAGGGATGTGTTATATTGCCTTATACAGGCAGGGTAGTATAGCAATGGCTGTCCACACATGAGCAGGCTGAGAGTCCGCAGCTGCTCAGTCCACAAGGGTGAAGGCTGGAGCAGAGCCTGAGGTCGGTGAGGGCAGCGGCATCAGCAGCAGGTGTGCTCGATCAGGAAGAAGCGAAGGCCCACGTGGCACTGTCCTTGGATCTCTATCTGGGATGCTGTCTGGGAGGGGTCCCTCACGTTGAGAGCATGTCTTCCTCCCTCAGCTGGCCTCTCTGCTAACATCTGTTGGAGTCAGCTGACCCGTTGGCTAGGGCAGCTGAGTAGGCGTGAGGCTGAGGGAAAAACAGACAGAAGAATAGATGGAGACAGAAAATCAGTGCCGGGAGGGCTTCTGGTCAATATCAAGCAAGTTTGAACTCTTTTTTTTTTTTTTTGGTTTTTTCAAGACAGGGTTTCTCTGTGTAGTTTTGGTGCCTGTCTTGGATCTCGCTTTGTAGACCAGGCTGGCCTCGAACTCATAGAGATCCGCCTGCCTCTGCCTCCTGAGTGCTGGGATTAAAGGCATGCGCCACTACCACCCGGCAAGCTTTGAACTCTTTTGAGTCAGAGTAGATTTCAGATTTAAACTGAGTCCCAGTGGGAAACTGAGTCACTTGTGGGCCTCCACAAACATCCTCACAACACATAGCTGAGTTGTGTCTTCTAGGTATTTCTGGATCCTGTGGAATCAAATAGCCAGATCAACTAAGAGATTCTCTTCAATAACTTCTCTTTATTCTGGAGGGCTCCTTTTAGCATTTCTTACTGACCAGCTCAATCAACAGAGATGTCTCTCAGATGTTCATGTTCAATTTCATGACATCCTTGCTGGACAGAATTCTGAGCTGGAAGATTTTACTTTCAGTATTTGAAAGATGCTGGTCCATTGGTTTTTGGATTCTCTCCTTTGTGATAAAAACTCTTTCTTCTGGGTCCAGGATTCGGCTCTAATTATGTATATGTCAGATTTTGAATATTATCGCATAAGTAAGTTCACTGACACTTTTTTACTCTGCTGTTTTTATTTTGCTATTGAGCCCATCAATGGAATGTTTTAGATATCATGTTTTATTTAATTTAAACATTTTCATTTATGGCTTTTCTGTTTCAGACATTTGTTTTGTAGTTTCTATTTTTATCAATTTTACACTTAGGCTTTTTATCCTTCCTTTATTTGACCATTTTTATATATAGATCATCTTGGGTTTTCATCTATTGATTGTTTTCTCTTTACATATGTTAAGTATTTGAATCATACACTAGACATTTATACATATTATATTGTTTTCACTTTGAATCCTGTTGAGAATATTGATACTTTTGCCCTAGCTAGGGTTATCCTTTAGGTCTGGTCTTTCCATCTCTGGCTTGTGTTTAAAAATCTCAGATCCATTTTTTAAAAAATTATTTATTTTTATGTACATTAGTGTTTTGCCCTGCTTGTATGTTTGTGTGAAGGTGTCAGATCTTGGAGTTATAGACAGTTGTAAGCTGCCATTTGAGTGCTGGGATTTGAACCTGGGTCCTCTGGTAGAGCAGTCAGTGCTCTTAACCACTGAACCAGCTCTTCAGTCCCTCACATCCATTTCTTAGCCTTGTGCTTGACTTGGGCCCATCATTTATGCATGTAGCTCTGAGTCCAGCTGAGACCTGAATAAATATTTTAGATCTCTGCTTCTTTTTCGCAGATTTTGCTAGGTTGCCCTGAATCTCTTCTCCATTCCCACGATTAGCTGGTAGGCTGAGACATGCGTGAGCTCTTGCTTGTCTTTGATCACAGAGATGATGGGGTCTTTTAGAGGCTTGACTGTAGGTGGTAGGTTAAGACAGTCATACAAGAAAAAAAAAAGTGAAAATTCTCCTGTGGATGGGTAGGCTCCTTCTTCATGCTTTGACTTCCTGACTTAGTTTACCTGTTTTTACTTTTAAGGGTCCTCAGGGGTTTGATTTTAATATTTTTGTCAAGAGTTAATAGTTGGTATTAGTGGGAAGGAATGTACATAGAGGACTTAGTCTACTATAATAGAACTGATGCACTTCATAACCGTATGTTGATATGTGTCAGGCATGACAGGCACTTATGAGTTATAAGAAATAAGTTCCTCGACATGGTATTAAGTGGTCATAACATACATTTTCTCACAGCAGTCAAAGAGTTCTTATCAGGGGACTGGAGAGATGGCTCAGCAGTTAAAAGTTACTCTTGCAGAGGACATGAGTTCCATTCCTAGTACCCACATAGGGCAGCTCACAACCACCTATAATTCCAACTCCTGGGACCAGACACTGTTGTCTAGCCTCCACGGGCATTTGCATTCATGCGCACATATCCCCTGCCCTATCCCCATATACACATAATCAAAAAATAAAATTTTGGGGATAGAGAAATGGCTCAGTGGTTAAGAGCACTGCAGAGGATCCAGGTTCGGTTCTCAGCACCTGTATGGACAACTCACAACCATCTACACCTCCAGTTTTCAGATGCCCTCTTCTGGACTTTTCAGGCACTGCACACATGTTGTGCACATACACACGTGCAAGCAATACACACACATAATAGTCAATAAATATTAAAAATCTTTTAAAAAGAGCTCTTATATGCGTAGGCTAAAGAAAACTGCTGAGAACTTTGAGATGTCATAAGTGAGTCACTATCTCTTTTAGACATACTTAACTTGATGTCGTTTTTAAAGTTAGAAAGAATGATAGTATTTCCCATGTAGATATGGCAGGTCCAAAGGCATTTTTATAAAAATTATGTGGCATTAGTTTTCAGAAACCTCCTAGCTGAGGTACATCTGTACTAACCATGGTGGATGAACACACTAAGTCAAAAAAACCAATGTTCTTACACAGGTTTATTTGAGCATTGCTCCTCAGACTATGGGTCTTGAACCAGATTATGTTTCAGCTTTTATCTTTGAAATGATCTGCTTTGGTTCAGGACTTTGTTTTACATCTGTCCATGGCAAAGGTATTGATTTCTCTCCCTTTCTATTTTTAAAAACTTTTTAAAAAATTGTCTATTTTTATTTCACATGCATTGATGTTGTACCTGCATGTATATTTATATGAAGGAGCTGGATCCCCTCGAACTGGAGTTACAGAGAGCTGTGAAGTGCCACGTGGGTGTTGGGAATTGAACCTGAGTCCTCTGGAAGAGCAGCCAGTGCTCTTCACCGCTGAGCCATCTCATCAGCCCCAGCACTCTGTCTTTCCTTCAAAGATTTGGCTGCACAATCGTGCTAATTCAGGTTTGTTTCCTTATAGACCTTGCTATCCTGGACTGGAATTCTCAAAATCTTGTTGCTGTAGCCCTTGGATCCTCTGTATACATCTGGAACACACAAAACCACAGTGGGATTAAAAGATAATAGACTTGCCGGGCGGTGGTGGCGCACGCCTTTAATCCCAGCACTCGGGAGGCAGAGCCAGGCGGATCTCTGTGAGTTCGAGGCCAGCCTGGTCTCCAAAGCGAGTTCCAGGACAGGCGCAAAGCTACACAGAGAAACCCTGTCTCGAAAAACCAAAAAAAAAAAAAAAAAAAAAAAAAAGATAATAGACTTAAGCCTCTTCTGTAATTATGCATCGTCTGTGTCCTGGATCAGAGAGGGATCGTGCTGGCTATTGGCACCAGCGAGGGAGAAGTGCAGGTACTAGAAACATTTCCTCCTGATGTCCTCTGTGCAGTTACTATGTAACATATTAATATAGAGATAGTGTATTAATATAGAGAAACTAGATTAAGTGAGGTTCCTGGAACTGCGGGAAGCAAGGAGAGACAGAACTGTTTTCTTCCGAATGGCATTTCTTGAAGACTGAAGGGTATTTTCCTTCATTTCCCTCACAATCTTTCTGTCTGTCATCTTTCATTTTTTGAAAAAAAAAAAATCTCTCAAACTCAGGTTGGACTTACAAAGCCTCTAGTTTGGGAACCCAGGAGAGAACGTGCCTTTTCAGGTTCTGTTCATCGGAAGCTGTGATACGTGCAGAATGGTGTAATATGACTTTTATTTCCTGATAGGCTGCCCGAGACAAGCATCTGTCAGGTGTTTGTTAGCCGAATTCCTCATGTAGCCATCATCGTGATTTTTTTTTTCAGCAGCATAAAGAATGTTGCCCAGGTGCTGGATAACCTTGGAGGCCAGCTTGCATCACGATGTCTTCCTATCTCACAGTTAGCCTTTCTCATTTTCATTAAGGGAAGAATGGAGTTTCAGTAGCATATTGAGTTCTGACTCACCCTCATTTTATCCACACAGACTAATAAAAATGCGGCAGATCTCAGAGCATCTTGCATTTTGGAGTAGGACTGTACAACAGGTACATTCTATACAAATGTTTCCAAAAGCTCCAAAATCCAAAACACTTCTTGTTCCCGAAGCTTTGGGTGAGAAATACTCCACCTGTGTGTTTGTTGGAACTGTATAGGTTGACCACGAGAAGTCCCAGTTTCCAAGATGTTAGAAGCTCAATCATGATTCTCAGTCCTTGGCTGCACATTGCATTCATTTTAGGAGCTTTACCACGAATGCCACACTTTCCGGTTCTACCTTACCAATTAAACCACAACTACTGGCACAGAGCAATACTCCCCACGTGACCCCCGTACGTAGTCAGAGAAGGATGGCCATTAGAATGAGCGGTACTGAGTTTTCTCTTAGTTCACAGAAGGCTGCCTGTATCTAGTAATTTGCTCTGAGGCCTTTGAGAACATGGTGGCCTGGGGAAAAGGCAGTGCCATGGACTCTATTGCTTATTCATGTTTCCCAGTTATGGGTATAATCACTAAGAAGTGCCGAGAAACATGCTTGTTCATGTTTTCCAGTCATGGGATATAATCACTAGAAAGCGGCAGAGAAACATGCTTGGTCATGTCTTCCAGTCATGGGATATAATCACTAGAAAGCGGCAGAGAAACATGCTTGGCCACTTGTCAGTGGTCGGAGCCTTGAGCTGGAACCACTGCACCCACAGCAGGTAAACAGTTAGTATTTGAACTGTCTGTCTGTCTCACCACTGAATTAGGAGTGGACAGAACCATAACACTTAAAGAAAAAACCAAGAGTGAAACAAAGCAGCCCATTAGGCTTTGTGTCTCTTAGCCCTTCTGCCCTGGCAGGTGTTCGGGTCTTCTGACATATGTTCTAGAGGGCACACACATGCGGTGACCATGCCTTCAGCATGAAGTTCAATTCATTATTCAGATAATTTGAGAAACTCTCTCCAAGCAAAAAGTTTCTTTCTATCTAGTAATACCTGCAAAGGACGTTTTTGGACAGAAACCAGTGTTTGTTGGTATATACGGAAAATGTTAAACTTTTGGGGGCCTTCTAATTTGTAGACTTATGACATTAGAGTTGGGAGAGGCTGCATAGATGATCCTGCTCAATAGCACTCAAACATGAGCGTTCACTGGACTCCCCTGCAGGGCTCATGGACAGAGATCACTGTGCCTCTCCAGCATTTCCTCATATTAGGGTATGGGGGGGGTATAATTTGTGTTTCTAATTTCCCAAGTGAGGTCAATGACATCGGAAGGACATCAAGCATACTGATGTGATTTAACAGCTTCTTCTTAACCAGGGAAGTTGTGGGAATTATTCCTATGATACTATAGAATTGGTTTCAATATGGATTGCTTTTAGTACTAGCATTCATCCCTGCATTCTATTTATTAAGGTAGATTTAAGTCGGTAAGGTTTCAAAGCTTTTTATAGACCAGTTAAGTATCTGAGAAGTAAATTGGAAACTTTATAACTTGGGATTTTTCAGGCCAAACTTCACATCCCTTGGTTGGTGTGGTCAGGTCAGCTCTGTGCAAATGCTATTTTTGCAGTTGACATCATTAAGGATTGACTTTGTTATCCACAGGAACATGAACTTGTAATCACAGCAGCTGTTTTGGGCTGCTCTATGCTTTATACTTGATGGGCACAATCTTGTTTTAATTCCTGTTATAGGGGATTCTTATTTCAATTTTCTTCTCAGAGGAGCAAACTGAGGCACTAGAATGAAATCACTTGATTAACAAGTGACTGAGTCAAGATTTTTTTTTTTTTTTTTTTTGGTTTTTCGAGACAGGGTTTCTCTGTGTAGCTTTGCGCCTTTCCTGGATCTCGCGCTGTAGACCAGGCTGGCCTCGAACTCACAGAGATCCGCCTGCCTCTGCCTCCCGAGTGCTGGGATTAAAGGCGTGTGCCACCACCGCCCGGCGACTGAGTCAAGATTTAACCCCAGGCAACCTAGTCCCAGAGCCCATACTGTTAGTCAAGATGTTAGTTAGGGTTGTGCCTGAATACTTAAGAAAGTATGACATCAGATGTTGAGAAATTGCATCCATAATTGTAGAAGTTCGTTTCCTTGATCCTTATAGAACATCAGATCAGCCTTGAGTTCATAGTCTGTGGGAGAATGTAGGACCTTCATCATGGCTCTGAAATATGCTGCATTTTTCTGAGATATTCAGTGAGTTTTGAGTTCTTTTTATGTCTTAGTGACACGGACAACACTAAGAACGGAAGTGACGCTTAACAGGGAGAGACCTGTCAGAAAAGTGAATAAAAAAAATCCTGTTTAACATGTTACAACAAGAATCTACTAAAGCCATGCTCCTGGACTAATGCGAGATATTCTCAAAAGAGAGAAATATCATTTCCTAGATATTGTATGTAAACTACCCAGGGGAATCTTGTAATTGTCTAATTTTGCCTTTTTCATGACTGTTAGTACAATATTAAAGCTGCTAGAAGCATCTATTTTGATTCCAAATTTAAAATGTTGCAGGCAAATCCATTTCACTGTGTTTTTTTTTTCTTTTAAAGACAGGGTCTCACTATGTAGCCCTGACTGGCCTCGAACTTAGAAATCAGCCTGTCCCTGCCTCTTGAGTGCTGGGATTAGCTGTATGTGCCGCCATGTCTGGGTGAACCTAGCTTACTTGTGAAAAGACTCACGCGGGCTGACTGCTCCATCCTTCTAACCCAAGGGATTTTTATCTGAGTTTGGATATCCTGATGGGTCTTTCCATAGTTTTATTAATTAATGAATTCACTTTCATTAATTAATTTCAAGACAGGGTTTCTCTCTGTAACAGCCCTGGCTGTCCTGGAACTCACTCTGTAGCCCAGGCTGGCCTTGAACTCACAGAGACCCACCTGCTTCTGCCTCACCAGTGCTGGGATTAAAGGCGTGCACCATCACTATCCAGCTCAGTTTTATTTTGAACTGTACTTGTCTCGTGCTTGAGAGATAGTGAGTTTTTTCTTTTCCTCTTCGTCACATGAACCTGCCTCTTCACCTCTAGTTCAGGGGGTCCAGACTGGGTCGTGCCCACCACAATGATGTTTGGGTGGCTCAGCATTATGTCAGAACACTTCACCTTAAGGAGGCTGTGTGTGCTCTGAAATGGTCACCTGATGTCAGGCTGCTTTCCACTGGGTGTAATGATGGACTACTGAGAATATGGCCCCATGATCCAGGTGCCAGTGTTCAAGGCCCACCACTGAAAGTCATACCTCAGTCCACAGCAGCTAAGGTAAGAGATCCCATAGCTGTCTAGGTTTGCTTTTGTCAGAGATCACTGGGTATCTCAGATAAAAAAGAAAATCAACCAGGCCTGGTGGCACAGACTTGTAATATCAGCCATTTGGGAGGCTGAGACAGGAGTACTGAAAAATTCAATGCTGGCTTCAGTTAAAGCATGGATTCAAGGCCAACAGGGGCAACTTAGTGAGACCTTGTCTAAAAATAAAAAGAGAGCTAGGGCTACAGCTTTATGGTGGCATATTTATCTAGCATACACAATGCCCCAGGTTCAATTCCCTGGACCACGTGCACGAGTGTGCGTGCACGTGCGCACACACACACAACACAAAGTGAGGAAGATTGCATTCCCTTATGATGGAGGGAACTCATTCTTGCCAAGGAGAAATGCAAAATAAATCACACATGATTATTTCACAATTACATTTTGCTAGATATAAAGTAACATGTTAAATTTCAAATAATTTCAGCCAGGATAACACCAGTATGCTTTGTGTGTGTGTGTGTGTGTGTGTGTGTGTGTGTGTGTGTGTGTGTGTGGTGGTGTTTTAGAAATTTATAATTGAGCCAGCCATGGTGGCGCACACCTTTAATCCCAGCACTCAGGAGGCAGAGGAGGCAGATCTCTGTGAGTTTGAGGCCAGCCTGATCTACAGAGCAAGTTCCAGGACAGCCAGGACTACACAGAGAAAACCCATCTCGAAAAACCAAAAACTGTTTTGACAGAACAAAAACTTATAATTGTTTGGAAAGTTGTTATGTTAGCTTTGAAATTATTTTGAAATTTGGAATTTACCTGAAGATTTTTGTCAGAAACAAAAGATACATCTTGTTTTATATGTCATCAAGCACTAAATGAAACACAAAACAAACAAAACAATCCACTTCTCTTTAAAAATGTCAACTTAATGCTATACAAACCAAACCAAAATAAAACAAACAAACAAACAAAAAAAACCCTGTAAATCCAGCATCAGGACCACAATTGATGGAAGAGAAGGAGATTAGTGAAAATGATAGTCACGGGGCCTGGAGAGATGCTCAGCAGTTCAGAGCATTTGCTGCTCCTGCAGAGTACTCACAACAGAGCTCACAGCTCCTATAACTGCAGTTCCAGAAGATTCAACACCTTCTTCTGGCCTCCTCAGGTACCGGCACACATGTGTGCACAAACATACATACGCACATACTCGTAAATAAAAGTTAAAACCATTAAAAATGGGAATGATGTAAAGTATGTTAAAACACAGAAAGGTTTATATAGTAAGCAATAGGAGGACAGATCAGTATAAACTCAGTTTGTTACTCTGTAAATATTTTGACTCCCAGAAGATAATATGCAAAAATGAGGTTAGTTCCTGGGATGAGCAACAAGATTTGCAGATGAATCTAGCTGAAATAGTTGTTAAAACACTCTTTAGAGTCACTAGCCATCCCAGTTATCAGTATAGACATGAGCTATGAATCCTGATGTTCAGTTGATTAGAGTTATTTGCAAGTAATTGCTCTTCTGAAGTGTACTGGGATTCGAGATGCCTGAGATCTGAATTTACAGGTAGTCATGTGCAGCTTTCTTTAACGTACTGTTATCTGGACTACAAGAACTCAGGTCACAAAGCAGAGGCTGTCCTTTAGCACAGAACCCAGAAGAGCCATGGGCTTCTCCAGCCTTAGAGTTCTGCCGAATGGGTGTGTTGCATGCACACATTTTCCATTATATGCTAAAAATACTGACTGACAATTGTTAGTATCATTTAAGGAAGTCTTTAGTTGGTGTCCTCCCTTTCAGCAGTGGTTTCTCATCCCGGGGGAATAATTTCTGAGGGGTGTATCTGCCCTCACCCGGGAGAGCTGCTCCGGCTGCAGACTTCTGTGGACATCCCCCAGGTGACCTTGCTGCTCACCTGCCTGTGTTCTTACCTGGAACTTTATAGGCCACGGAGTGGTGTCCCTGGCGGTCTGAAGTCCTTGCCGTTGGCGGAGGAATGAAGGATGGACGCCTACATGTTTTGGATGTAAATACTGGGAAGAGCATTCAGACTCCAAGCACACACTCACAGGTAAGCTTCGTCTTCATCCCACATCTAGAATCTTATGAAAACAATTTATGATAGAACATAGGATCCCACCCTTCCTTCCCTTCTGAATACAAAAGGAATTCCAATTCTTATGAATTTTTTTTTGGTAAAATCTCTCAATTGGTGAGTCCAAAGTTAATCTATTTTGTGTTTCCTCTCTCTCTCTCTCTCTCTCTCTCTCTCTCTCTCTCTCTCTCTCTCTCTCTCTTCCCCTCCTCCCTCCATCTCTTCCTTCTCTGCTTTTTTCACCTCATCACAGTTTAACTCTGAAACTTGAGAGTTAGCTGGCTATCCCTGGCCAGTGGTCACGATTTAAATCTCCTGGTTCATTACATTGGGGCCTATTTGTTTTCTTGGTCCTTGGATGACTTGGGATAAACTTTCTTAGGATGGATATAATTTCTAAAAATACCCAGTCCTCTTGTGGCTGGAGGGAGAGTGAACAGAACAGAACGTAGAGTCTAGAACCAGTGTAGGCACATTCCTCCTGCGCCAGAAGTTGCTAGCATTCAGTGTTTTGTGGTCCTCATTATAGATTTGCTCCCTCTTCTCGCTACCTAAGATAAAGGAGACTGCAACAAGCCAAGGTGCTCCCGAGAGTGCTGTGGCTCTGTGGGCCTGCCCCATGCTGGTGGGTGAGTTCTTTGGTGAGTAAATGCCACACACCACGGCAAAGTGTGCTGCATCAAGTGGGAAAGCTCGGATGAAAGCCTGGTTCTTTGATTTCAACATCAATAGAGGGCAAAATCTGACAGTCACCCCACCTCTGAACACAGAGATGAATGCTTCTAAGTTTGACCATACTTGTGCATCTCTTAGAGGTGTCCAGATTCCACTTCCTTGAGTGTGTATGATTTAGTCAGTTTCTGGAGAGAAGCTGTCTTCTGTAGATGACAGTCCTGCTGTGCTTATGGACTCACAGCTGTGGCTGCCTGAACAAAACCCGCACGAGCTCAAGTCAGGGGAACACTATCGACAGCCATAGCTACATGGCTCCCGGGAGGAGGGAGAGTCCAATTTTGGTTTTTAAGGGTGTGGTGATCAAGGTCCAGTGGATGGTCCCACACTCGTGAGTACGAGGGCAGCACAGATTGGACTCAGGAGGTGTTTTAATAAAAAGATGACAGAAAGTTGGGAGGTAAGGGGAAGATGAGAGACGATCTGAAGGGAGTTAGGGGAGGAGTGGGGGGTGAACGCAATCAAAATACACTGTATACATTCTCAAAAAGTTAGCTGGTTTTTTCTTTACATTAAAAAGACAACCAGGTGTAAGTAACTGTCTAGTTTGCTGGTGAGACCTGTCTTTGACGTGGCTTTTTCGGTCCAGAGCAAAGGATCAATATGTAGTGTCATTGATGACACGTGTGTGTAGAAAACAAAACTCACAGCAACAGTGTTCTTAGAATTTGAAGCCACAGCCTCCCCGTAAAGAATATCTTTGTCTGAGGTGAAGGTGTCATTTCCTACTACTTAGTGAGTTAAGACTGTCGCTGATGTGCTCCGAAAGTGTTTCAAGAACACTGCTGCTTTCGTGCCACGTGTCGTTTTTCCAGAAGTTTCTCTTCAATTTAAGTCAAGTTAGCTTTCAAACCTTGCTTTTGAAAATATATGGGATTTTCCCTCTTTGCTATTCCATTCCATTCTTTTTTTCTTCTTTCTTTTTCCTTTTTAACACATAGTGGGTAAAAAAGTCATTTTTCATTGCTCATTCTATCTATTGAATATAATAAAGACATTATTGCGAGTGTGGATTACAAAGCATTATTTTAAGTTGGAAGTGAACATTTCAAGATTCTTGTGCCTGGAACTTTGTGGCAGAAATCAATGGGAGTGTTTAACTTTTTAACAAGAGGGTTCTCCAAGTGACAATTTTCTGTATGTACCTAACGCTGCAACTATCTATTTTTTCTTCTTATAAGAACTTTCTGTCCAGGAGATAAGGAAGGGGAGCAGCAAAAAGACTTGGAGAAGTGTGAGCGCGGGACTATTTGATATCATTTTTTCAAAAGGAAATCACTTGAAAAACTTGTTTGTATTATGCTTGTGTGTTTGTGGGTGTGTACACCTGTGGGTGAAGGTGTCCTGGGGGCGGGGTAGAGGCATTAGATCTCCTGGAGCTGGAGTTACAGGTGTTTGCAAACCACCCAACAAGGAGTGCTCGGTGGTATAGGAACAGGGCACAGATTTAACTGCTGAATCATCTGTCCAGCCCCAAGAGAGGGTCTATTTTACATTCCTTCTTTGTGGCTTTATCTTAAAGTGACCTTCTAAAATTGTTAAAATTGAGTTTGTGTGTTGATTATGTGTACAGAATTTCTTCTCCCTCCCTCCCCTCTCCCTCCCTCCCACTCTCCCTTCCTCCCTCTCCCTCTCCCTCCTTCCCTTTCCCCCCTCCCTCTCCCCCTCCCTCCCACTCTCCCTCCCTCCCTCCCTTCCTTTCTCCCTCCCTCCCTCCTTCCCTCCCTCCCTTCCTCTCTCCTTCCTTCCCTCCCTCCTTCCCTCCCTTTCTTCTTTCCTGCTGTACTTGGGATCAAACCAGAGTTTGGCACATTCTGGGCAAGCATGCTATTCCCCAGCTAAAAATTTCCTAGTTCTAAAGTCATTTAATTTCCCACTTCTTCAAAAAGGTAACTCTCTTGCATATTTTAGGGTGGTCAAAATAAACAACATAAATATATCAATAAAATTAGACTATCAAAATGAGAATAGGATAAAATGACTGAAAAGCTTTAGTGCAAGGTCCTATATACCTTTTTGTTTATTTTTTAAATATTTGTTTTTAATTATGTATCAATGTGGATGAGTATATTCATATGTGAGTGCGGGTGCTCCCAGAGTTCAGAATAGGGTGTTAGATGCTCTGGAGCTGGAGTTACAGGCAGTTGTGAGCTAGCTGACAGGGGTGATGGGAATCGAACTCAGGTCCTCTGCAAGAGTAGTTAGTGTATGCTCTTGGCTGCTGAGCCTTCTCTCCTGCCCTGGTTCTAAGTCATTTAAAAACAACTATATCAAGTTGCATTTTCTTAAAGTTATAAATTAAAAATAAGAAGATAATGGCCTGCAATAGAAAAAGAGATTTTCCTTTGGAGTTTGGCCTAATGTTGTAGCATTGAACTGGTCCTAGTTCTGGCTCTGCTGTTAATTCATGGTGTGACCTTGTGTGAGATGTTTATTATTTCTACATTATTTTATTCATTCATAAATTAAGGGCCTGCATTATTCTGTGAACATAATTTCATGTAAAACACTTAAAGAACCAGTCCCATGTCCCCCCTTGGAATATTATATAGTGGCACGTGTGTTGTGTGTTTGTGTGTATGTGTATGTGTGTATTGTGTGCAGAGAGGGGAGTGATATGTAGGTGCAACAAAACTCCCAAGGGTCTAGGACCTAGGTTATGTCTCTTCCAGGAGCTGAACAGTACATACAGCACACCAGTGCTGAAGATCTTGTACCACAGGACAAGATGATGTCTCAGAGTCCCGCTCTCAAATGACTTGTAAGAAATCCCACTTTTGTGAAAAGGTGACCCCTTCCTGAGTTTGATTTCAGTTGTATCACCAAACATCTCCCCACTCAAACCTTATCTGGCCTTTAATCTTTCATATCCTCCTATCCCTAGCCTCTTTCATGGAATTAGCTTTGTTTGTTTTGGCCCAAGGTTTTGATTGTTAAGGCCACTGTTGGGTTAGGCTAGGGTTTGCGAAGCGTTTTCCAGGTGACACTGTTGAGGACCTTGTCATGCCAAAGTCAAAAGGACTGCGCGTCAGCTGAGTTGATGCTACCCACTATAGCTTCATCCTCCAAACAGCCCAAAATCATACAGCAGCCCTAAAATAAAATGAGTTCTGAAATAAAGAGCTGACTTTGATATTAACTCAGAGTTCCCCAACTAATGTGACCATTAAATGCTGTTCTCATTTTTAATATCTATCAACCTTGTAGAAAGCAAGCATAATTGAGAGTATTCTTTGGGAATAGGGAATAGAAGAGCAGGGGGAAGCCACAAGCTCCAGAATCCTGTACGCAAGTCTCACACTTGCATTGTGGAAGAGTTTTTGGACCCCTTTGCCTTAAGCAGCGCAGTTGATGGGATCCATTTCTTGGAATCTACCCGAAAGGGGGTATTTGAGACAGCAGAAGATAAAACCAATGAAGGTGGGGCAAGAGTGTGGGCTGAAGCTCCGTTTCCTTAAAGGTACTTTGTGAAATCTCCGTAGGCTGTGCCTGTGACCTTCTGTGGACAAAGGGTTTTTCATGATGTGATGAGTTTCAGGGTCTTGGGAGGAGCTGTCCCGGGTTATGAAGGCAGGCCTAAATCCAATGTCAAGTATCCTGTTTCTCAGAAGACAATCAGAGAGCAGACACAGAGAAGTCAGTGTGCTCACACAGGCAGGCTGGGGTGGTGTGGGCACAAATCGAAGAATGGCTGCAGCTGTCAGGAACCGGAAGTGGCAAGGCTGAGACTCTTTGAGCATGCCGTCCCACCCACCCCTAGACTTCACACTTCAACCTCAGACTGTGGGAGAGTCAGTTTCTGGTGCGTAACCACCCAGCTTGTGGGCATTTCTTACGATAGCCACAAGGCACTGGTCAGGGTGGGGTGGGAGCGGGGGTGGGTAGGTTTGGGTGGGGGGTGAGAGGGGGTAGGGATGAGTAGGGGGAGCGGGAAGGTGGAACAAGCATTGGAGAAGAAACTTCGTTAGCCTCAGATGCTGGGTGAAAGGCCTGGATGGCCTGGGTGGTGAACTTGGCGGGTACAGGGAACCCTGGGAGGGATGCTGGTCCCGGCTCAGGTTACTTAGTTTTCATCGGCCACCCTTGTAACTTGGCGCCAGATGCATCTTCTTTCTCCCACAGGTCACAGAGGCAGGGTGCTGCACCTGGCCACGAGTCCAGACGAGACCCTGGCGCATGGGACAGCTTGTGTGTGGAAGAGCCACCGGTCACCCAGCCAGTCTTAGCTGAGAACAGTGCCTCAGGCTTTCCTTCTCCATTAGGTCATGGGGATCGGAAGTTGTGATGCTCGGCTCTTCCTCGCCCGTTTCTTCTCAGACTGGCCTCTCTGTACTTCTTCCCACCCCGCAGCCCAGAGATGGCCCAACTTTCTTCTGTCTCCCTCTCCCTCTCTCCTCTTCCTCTCTCCTTTCTCCTCTTCTGCCTTCTGTTCTTTCCTCTTTCAAGATTAATTTTTCACAGTTTTAGTAAAAATGAGTTGCTGTGGGATGGTCTGTATGTCAAATTACTCTGATTGGTCAATAAATAAAACACTGATTGGCCAGTGGCTAGGCAGGAAGTATAGGCAGAACAAGGAGGAAAATAAAGCTGGGAAGTGGAAGGCTGAGAGAGAGACACTGCCAGCCGCCGCCATGACAAGCAGCATGTGAAGATGCCGGTAAGCCACGAGCCACGTGGCAAGGTATAGATTTATAGAAATGGATTAATTTAAGATATAAGAACAGTTAGCAAGAAGCCTGGCATGGACATACAGTTTGTAAGCAGTATAAGTCTCTGTGTTTACTTGGTCGGGTCTGAGCGGCTGTGGGACTGGCAGGTGAGAGAGATTTGTCCTGACTGTGGGCCAGGCAGGAAAACTCTAGCTACAACGAGTTCTAAACAGTTCTTTCCTGCCTGCCTTTTCTAAGTCCTTCTGTCATATTTCCAACTGCCTTTCCCATCTCTCCTTTTTGAGCTGCTTTCCTGCCATTGGTTCCAACTGCTGGTACAGTTTACCGGTCTGAAAAACCCCTGCCACCCTCCCGCTGCCAGCCTCCCGACATACGCTGTGTGCTGTGGCAAGCAAACTTAGCTCTCCTGCCCGCTTTCCTCCAGTCTCTGTTTTCTGCTGCTATAAAGAGGCCCAAGACAGCGTAACTTAGAAACACGGGACATTTATTTAGCTCAGGGTTGTGCAGGCTGGGGAGTCCAAGAGCATGCTGATAACCTGGCATCGGATAAGGATTTTCCCACTGTGCCATCCTAGGGCAAAAGACACAAGAGGCCAAGACAGCCAGGAGGTCACTTACAGCAGTTCATTGTGGGGTGTGTGTGTGTGTGTGTGTGTGTGTGTGTGTGTGTGTGTGTGTGAACTTGACACAAGCTAGAGTCCTCTGAGGAGAGGAAGCTTTACTTGAGGAACTGTCTCCATCAGATTGTCCTGCAAGCAAGCCTGTTGGGCATTTTCTTGATTGATGACTGTTGTGGAGGCTCACTGTGGGTGTCAACACCACCCGGCCTGGTTTTACAGGAAAGCAGACTGAGCAAGCCAGGGGAGAAAGCCAGTCAGCAGCCTCTGGCGACCTCTGCCTGTCTTCTGTATGACTCCAGTGTCAGGCTTTGCTTGTCCTTTGGAATTCTTGCTTTTTTCTTCCTTTTTTCCCCTGCACACGATGTTTGTTTTCTCTTCTCTGTGTCTATCTCTGTCTCTCTCTCTTTCAAGACAGAGTTTTTCTGTGTAGCCTTGACTGTTATGGAACTCGCTTTATAGACCAGGCTGGCCTCGAACTCACAGAGATCTGCCTGCCTCTGCCTCTGCCTCTGCCTCCCGAGTGTTGGGATTAAAGGTGTGTACACAAGATGTTTGTTACCTGTGCTTGGATTCATGGTATTAGTCTGTATTACTTATTCGGTATTAACATGATTGTAGTTTTGTTGTTTTTACTTTACTATGTGAAACTTTGATTATTTTAGTTTCAACACACTTTCCCCCTGATGGACAATGAAACTGGAGTGACAGGGGAGCACATCCCAGGCAACAAATGTTGGTTTTTCTTTCCTCGTTGTTTTGACTTTTCTTTTGTAGCTCAGGCTGTTCTTGACAGTAGTACCTAGTTCAGGCAGGCCCCAATCTCACAGTTCTTCTGCATCCACCTCCCGGATGCTGGCTTCATGGGTGTGGGCCACCACACCTGGCTCTTAAAGAAAACATGCCTTCCCCTTTATTCCTCCCATAAAACAAAACAAAAGCCCCATTATTGTAGAGCAGGGTATCGTATATATAATCAGGATTTTTCTTGCCAAATTCAAAATCAATTTGTCAGTTAATTTTCCCACCTTCCTTTAACTCAGTAAGGTTAGTAGTTCCTTTTTTAGAAAAATTTAGGGCACCCAAAACTGCAAGTCTCTGTCTCTGTCTCTCTCTGTCTCTGTCATCTCTGTCTCTCTCTGTCTCTGTCATCTCTCCCTCTCTCTCATACACACATTAGACAGTTTCAAGTGTTCCCCATCATTCTACTTATGTTTTTCTGTTTTAACAGTCTTATAACACTGTCATGATCAAAGGTCATTTCTACAGTCAATGTTGATACGTGACCAAGGGGCCTCACTTAAGAAAAACATCAATGTATTTCTATCTGATATTAATTTTGGCAGAAAGTTTGGGATATGACTTTTATAAAGAAATTAGAACAAGTCTAGATAACATGCAAAACAGAAGCCTTGCCTACAATCACTTTTTGAATTTTGTAATACAAAGCTTCACGTGTATAAATCCTTAGTGGATAGCTGGACAAATTTCTTAGTTCATGAATAGATAACAGTAAGTTCTATCCAGATTAGAGTATGAACGTTCCTGGTTTCCTAAAATGATCTGTGTGTGTACTGTCAGTGAACAGTCTCTGTATTCTGGTTTATATCATGATGGACCGGTCTTTACTTGTGCCGACCTCCAGCTAGATAGAATCCTGCCATAAACGTGTGTGTTACATGAGACCACAGTGTTATTTTCACTGCTATACATTTTACCCTATGAGAATAAACTTGTTTATCTTACTAGAAATGGATATTTAAGTTATTTGCAGTTTGGGGTTTTAGTAATTAATCTGGTATGTACATTACTGAACATATCTTTGGTGGACAAAACACTCATTTCAGTTTGGTATGTACTCAAGAGTGGAATCACTAGATTATAAATATATCAGGTTCATCTTCAACAGACACCAGTAACTTTTCCGGGAAGAAAGGCACATTTGTACTTCAACTAGCAATGCACAAGGGTTCAAGTCAACAATTTAAGAAATGGAATGCAGGTTTTCCAGTCTCTTTGGCCTCGGCAGCAGAAGCAAGGTGACGAAAGGAGCGTCATCCTTTGGAAAGTGTCACAATGAGATGCACACATTGTGCCGCCGCTGTGCCTCTAAGGCCTCGCACCTTCAGAAGTCGACCTGTGGCAAATGTGGCTACCTGGCCAAGTGCAAGAGAATGTGTAAATGGAGTGCCCAGGCTAAGAGACGTAACACTACCGGGACTGGGTGGATGAGGCACCTGAAAATTGTCTATCGAAGATTCAGACATGGATTCCGTGAAGGGACAACACCTAAACCCAAGAGGGCAACTGTTGCAGCATCCGGTTCATCTTGAGGATTTCAATCAGTCATAAAATAAGTGTTCTGGTTTCAAAAAATGGAATTCAGTAAAGAATAGTCTATTTATTGTAATTAAAATCCTAAATCCATATTAAAGATTATGAGATGCCAAAAATATCATCCCAGAACGCCTCTAGTAGAAACTTCATTTTATAGTTCAGGGAGTATGGTCCTTGGGTGTTATCAGTCTTGTTGGGGTGCTAATGTGAGGAATCCACCAATATTAATTGACTCAGAATCTCTAGAGGTGGGCCCTGGGCAATGGTGATTCTGGATAGGCCCATGAATCTGGTGGGCAACCATCACTGAAAGGCTGTGACTAGTGTTTTAATCAGCCTGAGTTTTGCTTCTTCATTGGCTTCAAAAGCTGAGATTAGTGTATGTTTTTGGATAGGACAGGAATTATGTATGTATGTGTATACATACATGCATTACTGCATACATACATATAAACACTTCATATGAAAATTGAAGGAATTTGTTCCCTTGATCCCATTTTAAAATGGCTACTGGGATGATGACTGTCCACTAAATTAAAAATGCTGAGCAAGCACGGGGCATTTTTTCTTTTCAAGAAAATGTTTAGATCACAATTCATTTCTATCCCTATGGACATGACAATCACTGTAACCACCATGATGGTGCCATCAACCCAGGCTCACAGACAAGGGGAACCAAGAGATCACCTAGATAATCCAAGGCTGAAATGAAAACTACCAAAGCTGACTTTCTGTTACATCCTTTTCTTGGCTGGCCAGGCACTTCATTTGTATCTCCTAGAACTCCAATTTCTGTTCTCCCTCAACCTTTGACGCTATGCTTCATCTTAGTCCAGAGGCCAAGAGGCAATGCACATCGTCCTAGGGAAACTACCCTTGAGTCATTTCTGAGATCTGGCCTCTCACTTCTTGCGTATAAATAAGAGTAGTGGTGTGGAGGTGTGAGAGTGGGAGCCAGGCTTTTCCCTTTTCACTCCTACACTCCAGAGCAGTTCAGAACGCCTGAGCCCCTCCACTGTGTTTACTGCCAGACAGATCTGCGGAGAGTGAAGTGCATTGTCCAGGGACAAGCTCCCCTGTCCCTGCACCCATGGATGACACTGGTGTGGCCCTGGCTTTCTTATCTCTCTCCTGCATTGTCCTTGCCATTGCCTTCTGACTCTTGGTTTTGCTGATGGAGATCCGCCCAAGAACACTGCAATAGAGAAGCACGTGCAGTCATTCAATTGATTTTATTTGTGATTAGATGTAGAAGTGACAGCAGATGAAATGAAATTCACGCATCTAAACTGTGCCCTTCATAGTCTTAATTACCCAGCTGAGATGTTTCTTTGAGAGAGAGGTATAGATGCCAGGCCCTCGGGGATCTCCACATTTCCCCTCAAGGCCAAAAGCTGTGATGCCTCGGAAAATACCGTCACACACCAGAGGGCTTCCAGAATCTCCCTGGGGAGAGAAGAGGGGTGGGATGAGGTGAGATCAGTATGAGTTATGAAGAAGTTCTGCAGCACTTAGTGTGAAGAGCAGCCCAGACTTCACTGAAAATCACTGCTTAAAACATCAAGAAGCTTAGCAATATTTTAATATGTATAGATTAATGAAAACTGCAATGCAAGTTGTATTATATATTTTAGCCACTGATTTGAAGATCGGTTGCCTTTTTCCAGAAAGCCATCCCTCTTGATTATTTTTTCAACCTGGAGTGAAACAGGGAGAGGCAGATGACACACTTAGGTAAAGAGTAACTGCCATGTTTTCTGGTCCCTCTAGAAGATAACTATTTTCCCAAAGAAAGAAAACTGAAGTCCTCCTTTCAGGGAAAAGCTGTCTTTATATCTGTATGAAGTAATAGATCATGTGAGAACTGTGGCCATCCCTGCTGAGATACATTCCCTCCTTGTTAGAGCATCTGGAATGTGCAGATTCAGCCCCGTAGGCTGGATTCCTCAGCAGCCAGCTTAGGGCACGGAGAGAACGGGAGCACTGCTGAGTCTCTGCGGGTATGGGGAGCACTGCTGAGCCTCTGCGGGTACAGGGGCTGGTCCCAGGGGAGGGGCATCCTGGGATGCTGCTGTGGCTTCAGGGTGTTGCGTATAAATCCCCAGGAGGGAAAGCCAGGTTCCTGGGTGCCTTCAGTGGAGGATGTGGGAGGCAATGAGGGAGGGAAGGTTAAGTAAAGAGAAGAAAGGTGCTAAGGACAGGTGCCATTTCTTCTTGGCATTTGGCCAACCTTGGTCCTGAAGACAAGGCATAGGTCCTCTGACTCCTTCCCTGTTGAGAGACACACTGGCCTCACCTCAGGAGACTCTTTGGAGTCTTGTGGAGAGGCAAGAACTAACAAGCTAGAACTGAGGGTCTAAACATTTGCAAAGTGTTCTTTTAAATTCTTGTCTCTGATCAGGCCCTGTCCCTCATGTTTTTGGGGACACTGGGAGGGAGGCTTATACATTCTCTGGTGAGGGTCGTGCCTGAAATTGTTTACTCTAGTTCCAGGTCCCTGGCCAGGTTTGGGAATGGCTGGCATTTCAAACATGTCCACACAAAAGGCAGTTGAGCATTTTGGGGTTCTGATGAGGTGGGAAAGACTGACAGCTCTTCAGGAACTCTTTAGAATTTTGTGTATCTTGTTTGTATCTATATGATAACATGAAAGCTGGGAACTCCCTCACCACTTTTTCTAAGCGGTTTGTTTGTTTGTTTTGTTTAATATATGAAAGAAAGTCAATGTATAGGTCATCCATGGACCTAGCAGTGGATTCTTATTTTTACTGACTCTTTGGAGCTGAGTGTGTTATTTTATTCACCTAGATCTTACCAAATTTCAAAACACACAGTAGAAGGCTGAGCATGGTGCTACAGGCCTTTAATCCCAGCACTGAGGAGGAAGTAGCTGGTGGATCTCTGTGAGTTCCAGTCCAGCCTGATCTACATAGTGAGTTCCAGGGTAGCCAGAGCTACATAGTGAGACTCCCTGTCTCAACAAACAGACAAACAGACAAACAAACAAACACAGTAGGAACCCATAGAAGCCAATGCCCTGACAAGACCAAACATAACGTCACACCATCTACACCCCTGTACCTTGCTCCAATAGCTGACACACTCTATCTCATTTCACTTACTTGGCACGAGTCCTTTCCACCATGGAGGTTTCCTGCACAAATCATATTTAGTCCAATTACAGGATTAAAATTATAGTGTTTTTTGTCATTGCAGATTTTTCTGTCTATGACAGTAATGTTGACTTCCCTCAGAGTAGAAGAGGGAGGTGAGTTATTCTGAATTCTCCCCCATCCTGCAACGCGGCATCTGGTTCCTGGTTTCACGTCACCTCCCTTTTTAGGCAGGGCAAGGATTGCCACATTTTTGTTAATGGCTGCTTTTCCATTTAACTGTGGGAAGACAAACATAAACAGTTCAGCGTATGAAATGAATTGTTGCGGAATATTTGTTTAACTAAGCAAAGATGTGTTGCATTTGTTTAACTAAACAAAGGTGTGTTGCATTTATTTATGTTGTAGAATATTTGTTTAACTATGTAAAAATGTGTTGCTGTTTTACCTTGCCTGTCTAAGGCACCTGATTGGTTTAATAAGAAGCTGAACGGCCAATAGTGATGGAGGAGCTATAGGTGGGACTTCTGGGCAGGGAGAGTAAGTAGGAGGTGGAATTTAGGTTCAGGAAAAGAAAGAAAAAGAGATGCCAGGGAGACACCAGGGGCCAGCCAGCCAGACATGGGGGAAGCAGGAAAGTAGGACATACAGAATGAAAGAAAGGTAAAAAGCCTCAAGGCAAAATGTAGATGAATAGAAACAGGTTAAATTAAGTTAAAAGAGCTAGTGGGAGGAGGCTAAGCTAAGACCGAGCATTCATAATTAATAATAAGTCTCCATGTCTTTATTTGGGAGCTGGTTGTCGGCCCAAAGAAAATGCCAACTGCAATAAATATTAATATTTGAACTTCTTACCTATCTCTGAGGGGCTCCCTTATTTTTTACCAGGTGGGGAACTAGGAACATACATTTATGTAAGTGGTGAAACTTTAGAAGGTTTTGTGACTGAAACAACAACCAAAGGTACATACCTGTAAAAGTTGCAGGTCACCCTCATGTGTATTCTCGTCAAAGCATGGGTAGGGAAATGCTTTCTTAATGGATAATATCTGTTTTTCTGGCTCATCCTTGTCTATTGAGTGAGCTCCAAGGATGACCTGAGAACGTTTCCCCCTGTAATAGACACAATACTAGTTATTAGTTTAATCAGGAACTGGTCATAATATGTGTTGAGCAGTTTCATTATGCCATTGATGTAAATGTTGCTTTTGGAGAAATTTTGTTGCTTGAAAGAATATGCCTGCCTTGAAGGGTAAGGTGTGTATGATTCTGTTAACATTACTGTTTTAGATTTATGTAGCTTTAACAAAATATCCAGGGCTGGGTGTGCTATAAAGAATAGAAGTTTCCTTTGGCTCACAGTTTCGTAGTTCAAGAGTTAGGTGTCAGCATCTGCTGGGTTTCTAATGAGGGTCATGTGACATGTCAGCTCATGGTGGAGAAGTGCTTGGAGGGATGAGGATGTGTGAAGAGGATCAGCTGAGTGACAGAGGAGGAGGCAAGAGAGCGACCAGAAATGGAGCTTGATTTATAACAAGCTGCCCTTCATGGTAACTGGCCAACCCTGAAGCCTACATTCATCCCGTTACTAGAATGGAGACCCCATGATCTATCTCTTAAAGGTCCCAACCACCTCTCAGTGTGGCTACCCTAGGGACCAAACTTCCAGCAAATGAACTTTTGAGGAGACAAATGACATTTGAGCCACCACACTTGTTATCTCCAACAGCTTATTTATAACAAGATAACAGGTTTATGAGAAAATCACATGAGAGAAGTTCAAGGCAGCAAATCCAAATCTTGGGTTTGTTTTTACTCTTTCCTCTCCCTGATTGGCTGAGGTAGAGGATTAGGCTGCAAGTCCCTGAAAAGCAAAGCTCCCAGGAGATC